TCTCTCTCTCAACACACACACACACACACACACACACACACACACACCACAACAGCATCAGCAGAGCGTCCCATTGCCGCAATCATGCGTGTACACGAGTCGCAAGCTTCACTGTGTGAGATGTGATGTCGGACGCATAGCCTAGCGGCTCCTCGTCCGGAACCGGTCGCGTTAGCCACGGCCATAAAGATTGTATCGATGAACTATTCTCCAACATGATGCGTAGCCTAGCGGCTCCTCGTCCGGAACCGGTCGCGTAGCCACGGCCTTATTTTTATTGGTGGCCAGGCGGGCCACCAACCCGACAGTTTAAGGTGGCCCGACGCCATTTCAGGTGGCCATTGGCACCCGGGCCACTGTTAAAGTTGAGCCCTGTAGTACCATCACAAACACAGTACTTGCTATAATGGTGTGTAAATATAAAATATAACTTCCTTTTACTTTAGTTTACTAAAGGTCTTCATCTCATCCAGGGATCGAGAAGCTGTGTTTGTAGCCATGGGAGAACCCTTATTACCGTGAGTAGTCTAGTTGAAGTACTACTACTAGCAGGAGTAAGATAATATAGGATAGATCCTATATTATCTTACTCCTGCTACTAGTACTACTAGTTCTGAGAGAATATTACTGCGAGTAGTGAAGTGAGGCCCAAGTGAAGTAACATGTATTGATGTAATTATCAACAAATATTTGCAGTCATGTTCTGAGTCTATCACATCGGGGTTTTTTTTAGGATAAAACGACCAGGAACCTTTCTAACCTGGCAGTAGGTGATGCAACGTTCCAAGTTATTTAATGCCAACTTTTAATTTAAGTTGGTAGGTTTCTCAGAATGACACATACAGATACACGAACGGAAGCATTGTATGTCTTGTGGGCTGTTAGGTTACAACATCATTATTTTAACCTTTTATTTTAGTCAGCTTGGGGTTCTCAAACCAAGCCTGTCATCCGATTACCGGTCAAGCTTGAGAAGAAATTTAGAAAATCAAAGGAGAAATTGGCAACTGAAGCTGCTGCAAAGGTTAGACACATCTGTACTAATTATCATGTAGTGTGTGGTTGCTACATGTTGGGTTCATGGATATAAGCGCTGACCACAATTCATTTTCGCAATGTGCGACGTGCAAATGTGCAAATGCGGACAGCTCTTATATCCTTGGGCTACATGTTCTAGTTTTTTTTCAGAATTGAATTCTGTTCTATTATGATACATACCAACTTCCTTTGCATTTAACGGCTCCTTAGGTAATTATATTAGGTAAAATGGGGGTTAATTATGTAATGAAACCATAAGAATGCTGCTTGTGATTTTCAAAGGCAAAACGCAAGTGGAAAGGTGAAACAGAGGTCATCGTGTGTAAGCAGGAGCGACTGAATCACTATAAGGGACAGACATATGGAAGGTTTAAACCCGTGCCACTGGCATCGACCGGATGGATGAAGAACCGTTCATCCTCATGTCACGACCACTTCACCATCAACAGCACACAAGGGGTAAAACACAGAGAGAAGCATGGTCTGACCCTCTATATCCTCAGAGATAGGTTACTAGCAATTACCGAATAATCTGTTAATTACATAAATTACTGCAAACTATGAATCCGTCTTCTTAACTACATATTAAGACACATGTGACTAAACTTTATCGAGTTTTCCTTTGTTCTGCGTAGCCAGTTGTGACGAGTTCAGGGTTTCTTCTGAGGGAAAATTAGACAAAGGAGGTAATGGCCAGTTTGGGAAAACAACGCGCACGATGGATTTAAAGGTGTGCCGTACCCCACGTCACATGACTCAATAAACGCACATGGCAATCTAAATATGCCAGAATAAGCATGTGGTGATCTATTTATTTTTGGGTTGACACTATTTTGACAACGGCGGGTAAATACAGGAACATTTTCACAACGGCGATGTTAAATTTTCACAACGGCTGTGCGCCACTGTGCCTCTTATGTATAAGAAACCCTGGAGTTCAATTCGATCGTGCTTTCAGCGACTTTATGTTCTGTTCGTATTGCCGTGTTTTGCAGAATCCTTCTCTAACCAGAGTAGACGATGCGGAGGAGGCTTCAACGTTCGAACACCTCGGACTGAAGGAGGAGCTAGTGACGGCGTTGACCGCTTCCGGTTTCAAAAGCCCCACAAGCGTGCAGGAGCTGTTGATACCGGAGATCCTGAGAGGCAATAACGTCTTATGTGGCGCAGAAACAGGTAAACAAAACTAAGAGATCACAAACGACATAGCTACATGCATCGAGCAACCTAGAAACTGATGCTCTATGACGCAGCAGTGTTGATGCTCTATGACGCAGCAGTGGTTATATCATCCTAAGAGAACATACCTGATGGTGACATCTTGTTTACCTGTGTGTGGTTATTATATACATACAGGTAGTGGGAAGACAGTGAGAACGTACCTGATGGTGTCACCTTGTTTACCTGTGTGTGGTTATTATATACATACAGGTAGTGGGAAGACAGTGAGAACATCCTGATTGGTGTCATCTTGTTTACCTGTGTGTGCGTTATTATATACATACTAGGTAGTGGAAGACAGTGAGAAGCGTACCTGATGGTGACATCTTGTTTAACTATGTGTGGTTATTATATACATACAGGTAGTGGAAGACAGTGGCCTTACCTGGCACCGGTGGTTCAACATATCTTCGACGCCAACTCTGCGTCGGCGACCGCGCCTCAGACTAACTCACCCCAGGCTCTCGTTTCGTGCCGGGCAGAGAGCTGGCCGAACAAGTCTACGTAGAGAACACCGTACTGCCGTGTCGTACCCACCGACTCCTCGTGACACAAAACTAGTTAACGTCGCCTCAAAGAGATTAGCGGACGTCTGTGAAATTGACAGTGCATCCATGCATGTGATGAATCACGGACATGCTTTCGACATGTTCAATGTACTTGGATAGGTTCGTGCGAATAGTTTCTCTTCGCATCCCTTTTTCGCTGCAGCCTTACTAACTACTCTTCACCTTTCGCCGCAGACCGTGGATTAAGAGCTTGTGCAGGGAGGCTTGGCGGTGCGCGGACATGGTGGTGGGAGGCCGCGGTACGAAGAAGCTGCTGGCCGGCGGGGCGACACAGTGACTGCGACATCCTCGTCGCTACTCCGGGAGTCCTGTGAAGTGCTGTGCGCACGTAGGTGACAGCTAGCGACGTTACCATGGCGACTCGCCCGTCCGGTCCGTGACACGAGCGTGAGATAACCACGCCCAGCACTCCTCCTTCAATATTGTTGCTAGGTCGGCGCCAAACGAAACCCTGTTTATGTACGTTTTTAAACGTGAACGCCAAAATGTCTACTTTGCAACATTTCATTATTGATCAGTGCGTTAGATAGCCTCGCAACAATGATTGGCTAGACCTACTATCAGTCACTCCAGCTAGCTAGAAGGTTTTTTGTCATTTCGGTATCACATCTTTCTGCTTTTTTAGTGTCCACACAGCTCAATGCATTGTTTATGCTGATACACGAGGGGTTCATACTGAATGTATTTCGCAGGTATATTCACGTTGGTAGCACGTTAACTACGTCGTCGTAGATGAAGCCGACTCGTTTACTGGACGACAGTTTCAATGATATTATCTGTCCGATTTTACGTAAGATTAAGGTAACTCAGCACTGCAGTCTACCTATTTCTAAGTTAGGCATATCTGTAGTTAGTAATTTAGTTAAAGAATAGGAGATATCTTATGTCTGCAGTCTCTCGTATGCAATAGCAAATACGGAAAACTATACACGGAAATCTATATTGGATATCTACAGTTATGGATCAAAAATAGACAATATATTGACCCTGTATATCAAAGTGCAAATCGTGAGTCTAATGGTGGGACCGGTCAAATAATCCAAATCATCATTCCCATAGCGAATGCTTGTAGAAATCGTTGGTTGTGTTGTTATGTGCGTGACACGTCGTTTATGTGTTGTTATGGGCTGACACTGTCGTTTATGTGTTTGTTATGTGCTACGCTGTCGTTTATGTGTTGTATGTGCTGACGCTGTCTTTATGTGTTTGTTCTTGCCTGCGACGCTGTCGTTTATTGTGTTGTTATGTCTTGACGCGTGTCGTTTATGTGTTGTTATGTGCTGACGCTGTCGCTTTATGTGTTGTTTATGTGCTGACGCTGTCGTTTATGTGTTTTATGTGCTGACATGTGGTTTATGTGTTGTTATGTGCTGACGCTGTCGTTATGTGTTGTTCTGCTGCTGCAGTTTAGGGCGCCGTGCCCGTGGGGTTGATGACGCAGTGGGAGCTCAGCAGTATTCACTGGTGCCACTGATACCCAAGTCCTTACACCACGATTACTGGATGGCATCATCCGCCGTTGAGTCACTGATGCATGTGACGGGCGAGTACCTTCACCGCGTCATTGCCCCACGTTACGCAGAAGTTCATTACGATAGCATGCAAAGGTAGCGCTATAGTTGTGTCATTCATACATGTACTTATAGTTACTATATATGTATGTCATCGTTTATAGGATCACCAGTATAGCTACGGTCACAGTTATGCTACGTCACAGTTATAGCTACGGTCACAGTTATAGCTACGGTCACAGTTATAGCTACGGTCACAGTTATAGCTACGGTCACAGTTATAGCTACGGTCACAGTTATAGCTACTAGCGTACGCCACAGTTATAGCTACGGTCACAGTTATCGCAGTAACTATGATGTAAGGTACCGGTGTGGAGGGTTCACTCTCCTGGCATTGTCGATATTCGAAGACAATTCGTTTAAAAAGATTTCTCGTACGTGCGTTAACTAGTTTGGGGTGTTGTCGCTAAGTGGGCATGCTGAGTGTGTTTGTTCTTTGCGCTCGTACCCACTATGTTTCTATCGTCCATGTTCTAACCGCGTTGACTGCTGGCATGAGTACTAGTGTGTATTAGGAGTGGCTGGCACGTGTATTAGCACGCATTAGCAGTAGATTGACCGTGCTTACCTCTCTCCACTCTGCTGTAGGATCGCCCGGAGGCTCTGCTGGTCCTGCTGAAGTCCAACACAAGACGTGGCATACCTACGATCGTATTCTGCAACAACACCAAGGGCTCCGACTTTGTCAACATGCTGCTAGAAGAGAACGGCATTCCTAACGTCGTCATGAACGGTCACATGACCGAGCAGGTGCTGCCCCCTCCCTACGATAATCGACCTATCCGCGTGAGCGAGAGCCAGCTTCCTCGGATACTGTTGCTATGTCGGTCAAGCAAGACCAGTTCATGTACGCTTTTTACGTGCGCGCGCCAAACGTGCATCCTGGACTTTGCCGCACTTCGTTACAAAGCAGTGTTTTTAGAATGCTTTTCTCCAATTCTGATTGCCTAGATCTGCATGTCAATCACTCCAGTTGGATGGATTAACTATGACTGAAATACTCGATTAACAAAATTTCTTAGAGAAAGACATTTTATTGGTTATTAGCATAAGGAGAAGTGAGCGTACACAGTGAAGTTCGTATTTACATGACGAGTAATTATAAAGCTTGGGCTCAGAGCTACGTACGGTTCATCTAACCTCACGATAGCACTGCGAATGTACAGTCTAACCTCGACGGAATCTCCATCGCGTGGTGTGATGTCGGGCGTTGTCGTAGCGACACGCTCGCGGTAAACGACGCGTTGTGTTCGCGACAGGCACGACGAGGTCGGTTCACTCCTTCCAAGATGGCAGGTTCCTGACGCTCGTCTGCACTGATGTGGGATCCCGTGGCCCTCGACACCTTAAAGGTACGCGTGACACGTCAGGTTTTATACAGGGTCACCTTAAAGGTACACGATTGGTGACGCATAAGGTTTTATACAGTCACCTTAAAGGTACACAATCAGTGACGAATCAGGTTTGATACAGTCACCTTAAAGTACACGATTGGTTGCGCATAAGGTTTGATACAGTCACCTTAAGGTACACCGATCTGCGGTGACGCATAAGTTTTATACAGTCACCTTAAAGGTACACAATCAGTGACGAATCAGGTTTTTACACAATGATATGCAATAAGCATGTGATCACCAACAGAAGATTTTATCCTAAATGTTTAATAACTCAACAGTTTTCAACATGAGTGTGCTGTCATTCCCAGGCTATACAGTCATCATCAAGACTGAGTAATCACTATACTATAAGAGGAACGTCATATTGTATTGAAATTGATGTATAATCAATAAGGTTGACCGTCAACTGCTCGAAACTCTTCAAAGGATGGCAGGCAATGTTTTAACTAGTAAAATTTATGATTCACCTTGGATAAACCACCAGAACGAAACGGACCATGCATCAGTGGATTTAGCCGGTGGTGTTTTTCTAGGTGAGGCACGTCATCAACTTCGACTTCCCGCTGAACATGTCCGACTACATCCACCGCTGCGGGCGCACGGGCCGTGTCGGCACGTTACACGGTGGTCACGTCACCAACTTCGTCTGCTTCAAGAACAATGTGGAGCTGGTGCAGCAGATAGAGGTGTGTAGTGTAGTGTAGCGTAGCGTAGCGTAGCGTAGCATAGCGTAGTATAGCACAGCGCAGTGTAGTGTAGTGTAGTGTGAGCGGCGACTTCCCATCCACTTAACTAAATCAACACCTGGGGGTCCATTGTCAGAAACAAAATATGTCTTAACATTAGTGTTGACACCGACTTTTTCTCGTACACCAGACCTCTATACGCTACACATGAGAAATTCATACTTTGAACGCATCACAGAAATGTAGCTATCAATGTGAGATTTATATATGTGCTAGAATATACATGTCTGCACGTATGGATGCATGCTCACACACATATACATGTGAGAATGGAGGTGCATTAGAAGTTGGAATATATATATACCTCGGCTAGAATGCACATACGCATGAGAATGTGTGTATATTCGAAATAAGAATTTATACACCCATCCTGGAATGTATACGTGAGTTGTTATAATATGTATGATGCGTATGAGATTGTTGGATTGGGGATACTTGCTCCCATGTATTGGCTACGCATGAGCGTGTGGAATCACTGCTGATGCTTCGATGCTTACATCTTCCAGCTTTCAGTGAGGAAGAGCGACTCTCTACCTAAGGTCAACGCCAACATCCGACGTCGTCTCTTCTACCGCGCGCTCGCTCGCGACGGGTCACCCAACGCTGTGCACCCTGCCGACATCACAGCGCCACCTAGTGAGGAAGAGGGAGACGAGGCGCAAGCTGGACGCGAATGAACATATGTCATCTTATCTGTGATGCTAGTGATGTCACATATATATATTATGCCGTCACCACCTACATGTGTAGGATTGTAATGCATGATGTAATGATAAAGTCGATTACTTATAGTTACTGTATCATATACGTGTGTTAGAGGTACATCATAAATCATGGCTATAATAGAGCAGGTCCAAGCACATTATACACCTGTTTGTTTATTGGGTTCATCCCTGAAGGCTACCTTGTCACTATATCCAGTGCAGTGGACACCGACAAGTACGAGAACATAACATAACATGGTGTAGATTCTGTTCCTGCGGTATATCTGCCAGCAAACCTTACTTATTATGCATCTAACACAATAAAAGATGATACAAGATGAACAAGCGAGCAAAGGGCAAGGTGCTTTGCGGCAGAGTTTGTGTAAATACGGAATTAGTATTAAATGCAATAAATAATAAATTTGTTACTTTTTACCTCTATTCGTTAGATTTCACCTGTTTATTTTCGGTGTGACGCATATATTTGTTGAGTAGTTGTAGTTGAGACCAGATCTTGGTTTGATCTGCCTCCGGGAAGTTGAGTGGCTCCTATATAAATACCATATAATTATCATTATAAGTTCTTCAGTGACACTCGGCACTCAGCTACATCCTCTCACTCTCTCCTCCCACAGATGCCTTGCCACTCCTGAACACTGGACACCTTATAACTATAAACGTGAAAAAAAAACTAAAGATATTTTTACATCAAATTACTTTTGATTATGCGCTCTCTACGTTGAATGTATAATTTTGACAAAAATATTTTTCTATGCGTCTATATGTATGTTTACAACTTATGCAATACCAATCAGCACAGAAATAACCACTGGCGTAGCTAAGGGGGGGCACAAGGGGGCCATGCCGCCCCCCCTGTTGATTGGCAAACAAAAAAACAAAAAAATTGGACTGGCCACAAT